GAGTATATTTTAATATCTGGTAAGACTACTATTGGAGGAAGTCATGGAGAGGATATGACCACTGGTTGACCATCCTGCAGTCCCCCCACTCCCAACTCCCAAACTCACCACCCTACACTGGACCTGGGTACTCAGCGGCTCCTCACTCCCTCTCCTGTACTTGGAATGTACAAGGTATGTTTTGCCCGCCATGCGGACAGCCAGAGGCTTTTTCAGGGATGTAGTCTTGAGAGAGCCATGTGTTGTTGAGACCTTCTGGATGGTGCACATGATGGAAGGCCTCTGTGTAAATGTTTAAGATTCTCCCTTTGGTTCAGAGATCTACTCACCAGGTGGCACCCAAAACAAGCCACATGAGTTCCCTTCTTAAAACTGCCACCTGCCCTTCTGGAGTGGCCTGCCTTGTCTCCATTTCTCTGGCCCTCTCTGTAGGGGGCCAGTTTGCAAACCAGCAGCCACCACTCCCCCCACTGCTCTCCTTAGTCAGGACCTTCTTGCTTGTTTAATTCTCCCCAGGCATCTTATAACCTACACGTCTCATTACAGAAAAAAAAAAAAAAGAAAACACACACAAAAAATCATATTTCTGTTGGGACTGCATTATGTCTGTAGATTAATGAATGGAAAACTAAAATTTTTATGATGTTGAGCATTCCTATCCAAGAGCATGAAAATGTATATTTATTTATATTTATTGCTATTGTAAAAATAACCTATATATGCAAGATACTGATTTGGTACGTTAATTTTAAAACTCAGTACTTTCCTAATTTTTTAATTGTTGGTAGTATTTTTTCCACTGCTTATTTTGAGTTTCAAGTTATATATATATATATATATATATATATATATATATATATATATTCCTATATTCTATAATAGAACTGTCCAACAGAAGTTTTTGTAATGATTGAAATGTTTAATATCTACCTTGTCCAAAATAGCAGCCACAATCTGTGTATAGCTAGTAAGTACCTGGACTGTGCCTAATGTGACTTTCTTTTACTTATAAAAACTTCTTTCCAAAAAACTTTTTATTATTGAATCTTGGTGGGGCCTGAATGGCTCAGTAAGTTAAGTGGCCAGCTCTTGATTTCCGCTCAGGTCATGATCTCAGGGTCCGGGCTAGAGCCCCACAATGGTCTCCAAGCCAGGGACAATAGTTTTTTCTTTTTCCTAAGACTTTATTTATCAGAGAGAGAGAGAGAGAGAGAGAGAGAGAGAGAGAGAGAGAGAGCATGAGCAGTGGGGCGGGGCAGAGGCAGAGGGAGAGGGAAAAGCAGACTCCTTGCTGAACAGGGAGCCCCATATAGAGCTTGCAGGACCCTGAGATCCCAACCTGAGCTGACGGCAGATGCTTAACCTACTGAGCCACTCATGTGCCCCCAAACTGACAATACTTACTTTATTTTTTTTTTTAAGATTTATTTGTTTATTGCAGAGGAGGGAGGGGCAGAGGGAGAGGGGAAGCAGACTCTCAGCTGAGCAAGGAGCCTGATGCGGGGCTTGATCACCTTCCTCGGAGACCATGACCTGAGCTGAAACCAAGAGTCAGTCACTTAACCCACTGAGTCACTCAGGTGCCCCTGAGAACATTCACTTTATTTTTTTTAAAGATTTATTTATGTATTTATTTATGATAGACATAGAGAGAGAGAGAGAGAGAGGCAGAGACACAGGAGGAGGGAGAAGCAGGCTCCATGCCGGGAGCCTGACGTGGGACTCGATCCCGGGACTCCAGGATTGCACCCTGGGCCAAAGGCTGGTGCCAAACCACTGAGCCACCCAGGGATCCCCGAGAACATTCACTTTAAATGTAAACATTCACATGTGGCTTTCAGCTACCTTATTGGGTAGCACAGGTCTCTATAGTTTTACTTCTTGCTTTTTAATCTTTGTATCTTGATTGATAACTATTATCTAAGTATGTCAGTTAATACTTCCAACATAGTATTTAATAAGAGTGGAGATTGGGATCCCTGGGTGGCGCAGTGGTTTAGCGCCTGCCTTTGGCCCAGGGCGCGATCCTGGAGACCCGGGATCGAATCCCACGTCGGGCTCCCGGTGCATGGAGCCTGCTTCTCCCTCTGCCTATGTCTCTGCATCTTTCTCTCTCTCTCTGTTTGTGACTATCATAAATAAATAAAAAATTTAAAAAAAAAAAAAGAGTGGAGATTGTAAGCATCATTATATTGTTTCTGAGTTTTGCAGGAAAAGCTTGAGTAAGTCCTCATGAAGTGTGTGTGTGTGTGTGTGTGTGTGTGCACGCACATAATTCACATGTTAGGAAGCACACGTATCAATACTTGAACATTTTTAGAAAGGTATTAAAGAACAGGTATTAAATTGGTCAAATGTCTTTTTTACATCTACAGAGATGATTATATCATTTTCCCGTTTAGTCCCATAAATGTGATAAATTTTGGATTTTTCTAATACTGAGCCACCCTTGTATTCCTGGGATAAACTGTGTTTAGTCATAATAGATTGTTGCCTGGCCTCCTACTCTAAGCAATATTGAATAGCCAGCAATCTCGTCTACCTTTTCTTTTTCTCCTTCACCTGTCCAACATCTGATTTTAAGTTTTTTTAGTCCTAAGACCACTAAGAAGATCAGCAAGCTTATTCTACTTTTTTACATAAAGTCCTGATTCTTCATCATTGAAAATAATTGTACTGTATCTACAGTATAATGCATTATCCCTTATTACTGTTATTGAAAAGAGAGAGAGAGAGAGTGAGCAAGGGAGGGGCTGGGGGAGAGGGAGAGAGAATCCTCAAGCAGACTCCCTAAGCATTCAGCTTGATGGGGCTCGATCCCAGGACCCCAAGATCATGACCTGAGCCAAAATCAAGAGTCAGATGCTTCATCGACTGAGCCACCCAGGCATCCGTGTTACTGATTCTTAATATTTCAAATTAAGTATATACTTAATGCTTATCACAAGTCTTTACATCAAAATCTTTCCACTCTTATTTCTTATTGGGAGCTCACTCTAGTACACTCCTCAGAAAGAGATCAAAAAAGAAAAAAAAAAAGAAAGAGATCTATCTACCTACCTACCTATGAGGTTCACTGATCATGTCCTCCATCATCTCCATTCTTCTACTGAGGCCATCCAATCAATTTTAGATTTGAATTTGTATTACCAGAACTTATTTTTATGTTGTATTTTTGCTTAAAAATCTGTTTCTTTTTTACATTTCTTTATTTTTATTTTTATTTTTATTTATGATAGTCAGAGAGAGAGAGAGAGAGAGAGAGAGAGAGGCAGAGACATAGGCAGAGGGAGAAGCAGGATCCATGAACCGGGAGCCCGACGTGGGATTCGATCCCGGGTCTCCAGGATCGCGCCCTGGGCCAAAGGCAGGCGCCAAACTGCTGCGCCACCCAGGGATCCCTCTTTTTTACATTTCTATAAATTTCCTGTATTTTGATTCCCTGCCAGCATGTTTCCTTTTGCTTCATTCAGTATAGTTACAACAGTTGCATTTAAGTCTAGTCTGATTAACTCTAACGCGTTGGCCATCTTGGAGTCGACATCAGTGGACTGTCTTCTCCCTTTAAAACAGATCTTATCTTTTCTGACTCTTTGTATATAATTTTGCCTTGTAACCTAGACACTGTGGATTCTATTATTTTCCTCCAGATTGTTGATATTTATGTTGTAGTAGGCAATTAACTGCAAACTGTCAACACCTGTGTTGGGTGGTGTCTCGTCTCTCATTTCAGACTGACTTCAGCCTGTTTTGCCCATGTGTGTGTCCCGAGGATGAGCCAGAAACTTGGCAGGTTTTCACACTGACTTTGGGGTCCTCCATTTCTCATGATGTCTTTTCTGGGATTCCCTCCTCACTCTGTGGAAGCGGATTGCCCTAAGCCCCTTTCCTGGTTTGCCCAACAAGAAAGAGGGGGAGCTTTCCATCTGAGTTTAAGCCTTCCAAAATCTGTCTGCTGTTGCTTGTTGTTTTTGGTGTTTTGCTCAAAGTTTATCTGAAGGAAGGCTGGGTAGGCTGTAACTCCATCATGTTCAAAACAGAACTTTCCTGGAAATGATCTTTGATGTGCTAGTTTCCTGAGCTTATGGAGATTGGATTCCTCAAGTTATCATTAGACATGATTGGACCTTATGCCATCCTAGCCTCTTGCATACATTCATGAATTCAATCCAGCAGAATCCTTCCTAGTTTGGGCTGCAGTTCTCAGCAAGTACCTGTGGAAGATCTGAGAGTCCTCCTATTCCTGGGTCATCCAATGCCACACTGCTTCCTTCGCTTCATCCCATGCAGATGGTGATGCCATGTGGACCTTGCAGGTTTGGGCGATGCAACACTCAATGTAAGGCTGTTGTAACAAATTACCACAAACTGAGCGGCTTCAAACAACAGAAATTCATCGTCTCAGAGTTCTGGCAGCCAGAAGTCTGAAATCAAGATGTTGGCAGGGCTGCGCTGCCTCTGAGGCTTCCTTGCTTTCTCCTTCTGGTGACCGCCCACAATCCTTGGTGATGCCTGGTTTGTAGATGCATCACTCCGATTTCTGCTTCTGTTGTCACTTGGCTTTTCCCTGTTTGTCTTCTGTGTGTCCAAGTATCCCTTGCTTGATAAGGATACCAGTCACTGGATTAAAGCCTATATTAATCCAATATTACCTAGTCTTAATTTGACTGCATCTACAAAGACTTATTTCCAAATAAGGTCAAATTCACAAGGGGTAGGACTTGAACGTATCTTTTGGGGAACACAATTCAACCTATAAGAGGTGATTTGCCCCCAAGGGATTATAGGGCAAGTAGAAGGGATGGGGTAATTTGTCATCTAGTTGTTTTTATAGTAAATATATTCTAAATGTATGGAATGAAGTGACTTGTGTAACATCACATAAATAGCAAAATAGAATACAATCTGCTACATTATTCCATGCGTTAGTTTTACTTATTTGTTTCTTTTAAAAATGAGAGACCATTTAAACAATAATATTGCAAAAAATTTTTTAAAGATTTTATTTATTTATTCATGAAAGACATGGCGGGGGGAGGGGGAGGCAGAGAGAGAGAGAGAGAGAGAGAGGCAGAGACACAGGCAGAGGGAGAAGCAGGCTCCATGCAGGGGGCCTGATGTGGGACTCCATCCCCAGTCTCCAGGATCAGGCCCTGGGCTGAAGTCAACGCTAAACTGCTGAGCCACCCGGGCTGCCCTGAAAAAATTTTTAAGGAGAAAAATCTTCCAGTTACCTTACTACCCCTTAGGCCAAATTTTTTTTTTTTTTGCATATCCTCTTCATCTTTTCCATATGTACCAATGCGTTTTACATATTTGTAAGAAATCAAAGTTGTTAACTTTTAAATAAAATTAAATCATCAGTATAAATTGTGTGTAATTAAGGAATTCTGTTACAAGAAATTTAATTGCTTTGCATTTTTCACTTAAAATGAAATCCATAATACCCAGGGGAATTTTCAAGACCTTGTCAGCTGCTTTAATCTTCCTTCATGAATTGCTGATACTAGTCTTAGAACTGTTCTGTTTTCACAAAGGCCCATTATGTGATTAGATACCAAGCATGCAGTATACCTGCCCAAGATAACAATTAGGCTCAAACATTATTATCAGCTATTTCATTAATCTCAATGAGTTTACACTGTAACAATTAAATAATTTCTGTGACTAACCAAGATTCATGACACACAGATTCCCATCAAAATCTGTATAAATTGGATGCAAAAGATTATCCTCAATTCAGACACAAATGCCTAAAATGAAATCATCCATTGATGTAGCACAGAGGCAGATGTGCTTTGTGGTTAAGAATGAGCTTTGGAAAAAAAAAAAAAAAAGAAAAAGAATGAGCTTTACGGTGCCTGGGTAGCTCAGTCGGTTAAACATCTGATTCTTGGTTTTGGTTCAGGTCATGATCTCAGGATCCTGGAATCAAGCCCTACATAGAGCTTCATGCTCAGTGCAGAGACTGCTTGTCCCTTTCCCTCTGTTTCTCCCAATGCTCTCTCTCTCTAATAAATAAATGAAAAATATTTATATAAAAAAAAGAATGAGCTTTGACTTTGGAATAAACTGGGTTTGGATCTTGCATTCTTGTCTTGCTGGCTGCTCAAGGTCTTAAACCTCCTTAAGCTTCAGCTTCATTATCTGGAAGTAGAGAAAACACACTTAATTCATAGGTTCTTAACAATGTCATAGGATCAAAATAATGCCTGATACTTAGGCCTTCAGCTATAGAATTGTTCAACTGCATGTTGAAGTTAATACTGAATTATCCAATTGTTGAATAAGTATTCAAAGAGTAACAGGTCCTACAGATACTCTTCTACAAAGCATGCTGCTGACCCAACTGATCAGACTCTGGTTGAATCTTGATTGCAATCACATTCTGGTCTACCTGGTTGTAACATTTACTTTTAAAAATACTTGAATTGGTACTTTCAACCCCCAACTTTATCACAATAATAGAGATTAGTAGTTATAAATCATAAAACTCAAAACCTATGATAAATTTATCTAGTTTACTACTGATTTCGCTTTAATCTACATTTAAATACAATTATATGTAGTCATACATATAGTGTGGTCCAGAATTTAATTCCAACCTGTCCCAGATTAAACTTTAGTCAGATGAGGGAAATGCTTTGAAAAGGTACTAATCTTCCTCTTCTCTCATCGCCCGGGCCCTGAGCCTATGTTGTCTCCTTGTTTATACCTACCTATGACAGGTTTGTCATTTCTTGTTCCAGGAATGTGCATCTCAGACTGCAGTTACTCAAAGTTCATAACACAGTCTTGATGGATGGTATTTATGTTTTTGCACTGTTCTTCAAACCTTCTTAATAGGTTCATTCTGTTGAGAAACATGCTTTTCCACGCTGCCTAATGCAGGTGCCTCTCGCCTTTTGTGTGATAATTCATCCAGACGGAAAGTGACATCAAGAAGCCTTCATCAAGATTATTCCATGTCAGCCCAATCTTGAAACCTGTCAGATTGACCATGCAGTGGGGGAGGGCATCCCAGGAGCAAGGAGAAGCCTCAGGTTGGCAAGAGCACATCCTATTCCCACCAGTCTAGTTGGTGAGAAAGGCAGTTTGCAGGAACTCTCCTGCAATAATAAACTTGGGCAGGGGGCTAACTGATGGCGAGTGCTACATACCATGCTAAAGAGTCAGGATTGTACACATGGTGGCTTTAGGTTGCCATTCGCTCTGTATTTGCACCACAGCAGGAAGGCAGATGATGGACTGAGATAGGGCAGCAGGAAAGAGCATCTTAGGGGTCCCTGGGTGGCACGGTGGGTGAAGTGTCTGTCTTTGGCTCAGGTCATGATCCCAGGGTCCTGAGATCGAGCCCTACATCAGGCTCCCTGCTCATCAGGAGTCTGCTTCTCCCTCTGCCTCTTCCCTTGCTCATGCTCTACTTCGCTATCTCTCTTTCAAATAAATAAACTAAATCTTAAAAAAAAAAAAGAAAGAAAGAGCATCTTAAGTACCATCCTGTCCCCACCATCTACTTCCTGCTCAACACAGAGCACTCCCCTTGTGCTCCACCAACTCCTTCTATTCCTCTATCCTACCTCCCTGCATTCTTCTCTTTATTGCAAACATCTTGCTCGACTGTGCTTATGTGTTCACATGTGCATGTCCGCTGATAGACTGTAAGCTTCCTGAAGGTAGGAACAGGACTGCACTTCCTTTTGAATACTCAGCATTCAGCCCCAGGCCTAGAAGCAAGCAAGCATTCAATAAACTCATTATTGCACTCAATCAGTATTTAATGAGTGCCCACCACGCATTTCCTGGGGAAACTGCTAAAGGCACTAAGCACAGCACAGCAAGTAAAACAGAGAAAAGTCCTTGCCTTCATGGAGTCTGCATTCTCATCCTGAGAGCCACACAACTTAGGAAGTAAGCAAATAAATAAACGGGCACAATTTTAGTATGGCAGATAACGGTTAAGAGCTATGGAAAAAATAAATCAGGGGAGAGGAATCGAGGGGGCGGGTGTTAAGTAGGGTGGTCTGGGAAGCTGACAGTAGAATACGAACTTGAGGAAACAAGGGAGCAGCTACGCAGATGTCCGGAATGGGGTGAGCAGGAGGGGACCAAGCAGAAGGAATTCACAGAGGAAAGCCTTGAATCAGGACCTGCCAGGTGTCCAAGGAATAGCAGAGGCCAGCACAGCTGGATTTTGGCTTTTCCTCTGAGTGGAAGGGGAAGCCCCTGAAGGATTTTGAGCGCAGGAGTGGCATGATCCCACTTCTAATCAGACACGACAGCTTTGGCGGCTATGCTGAGAATAGCCGGAAGAGGGACACACGTTTTGCTGGGCAAGAAAAGCGGTGGCATCAGTCACCGGATGTGGAGAGAGGTGCTAGACACAGCACACAGTTTAAAGGTGGTGTTATTTAACTGGACCCACGAGTGCTTGGCTGGGGGTATCAGGGAATGAGCACAGTTAAGAACATCTTCAGTTTTGGCATAAGCAACTGGAAATATGGAGTTGTGATTTACTGAGACCTCAGTAACTGGGGGGAACCACTTAACTCCCTGTCCAGATCACAACACTCTGGAGAGTGAAAGGACCTGTCCTATAGTCGGGAAAACGTATGGACTGTCTTGGAAAATCTGTTTACCCTGGAGTCATGGCTCTCAATCAGGGCTGATTTTTGTTGCCAAGGCAACATTTGGCCATGTCTGAAGACATTTTTTGTCACATTTGTGACCAGTAGGGGGTTGCCACTAGCACCTGTTGGGCAGAGGCCAGGGATGCAAAGGTCAGCACCTCTCCAGAAAGAATGATCTGGTCTAAAATGTCAACAGTGCCAAGGTTGAGAAATCTTGTTCTAGAGACAGGAAACAGGACGAGAAGGCCAGGTTTGCTGACATGCATAGAGATAAAGATCAATGTAATCAAAGAGATATGAGGATGCTTACCTCTTCATTAGCTTATCATTTCTATTTCACCATTTACCCAAAAAAGCATATATCCTTAAACAAGAATACAAGAGTTTACAACTGAAAGAACCTACAGACCTAATTAGCCTGATGACCAGGGGTTTCCTGGGACCCTCACCCATCCACTCCTCTGCTATCCTGTCTTTGATCAAAGGCTCTGTTCAGCTACAGCATCATTGGTACTGATGGCTTCTTGAATTTCCCAAGTATATTTAAGAAAAGGCAGTTTGAGTGCAATTTTAAGAAAGTGATAACCCATCTAAATACAGTTAGCTGTATGTGATTTTACAAGCAATGTTCTTCCTATTCAAAACAGATTGGGGGAAAAAAACAGATTGGGGAACCTCTCAGGAAGAGCAAGATTATCAAGTGAGTGTCCGAACTCATTCTTCTCCCCATTCCATCTTCCCTCCAAAATGGAATGAGTGAGTGAATGAATGAAGGAATGAAAACACCTTTAAAATGAGTGGCATAACTCAAGGTGTTGAGTGCCAAATCTCTGTGGTCATCTTTCTCCCCCGTCCCCTTTCCCCATTTGTGAACTTCTAATGAAATCTCCTACTAGCTGCCTTAAAAGCATTCTTGTAGTCCCAATAAAGTTCTTACAGTTTAGTCATTGAATGAGAAGAAGTCCTATGACTCTTCTAGACGGATATATCTGAATGAGCCTGTTGGTTTCCCAGCAGCTAGTATCTTGAGAGTGAACATTCCAACTCTTAAGCCAGTAAAGCAAATTATAGCTTTCAAACCGGCCCTAATTTTTTGCGCTCAGGTCTAAGAGAGGTTTATGAACTCAAACCCTTTATTGTCTTGACTTTCTTTTTTTAAGATTTTATTTATTTATTCATAAGAGATACAGAGAAAGAAGCAGAGGCAAAGGCAGAGGGAGAAGCAGGCTCCCCATGGGAAGTCTAATGTGGGACTCAATCCCAGGACCCTGGGATCACGACCTGAGCCAAACGCAGATGCTCAATTACTGAGCCACCCAGGTGTCCCTATCTTGATTTTCTTCTGCGACCTCATAATGGGGTCTCAGGCTTTAGTAAAATGGGCAAAACTGCCTTTCTGTCTGTGCCTACCTACTGAGATGTTGCCCGAAGGTTTTCTTTTTGGTGGACATTCTATCAAGGCTTAGATTTGTACTATTCCCAGGCACAAGAGGGCATTCACAGCTATTACATAACGTGAAACTGGGTAAGGTAGACTGTGTACGCATTCAGAACTCTGCCCTCTGTGTGGAATGTGAAGAAACAAGTTTAAGCAGGACTGTGCCCCCAAAGATGGGGGAGCTTCAGGGGGAGTGCGGGGAGAGAATAATCACCCGATCTTTGTGTCCTGTTCATTCAGGTTAGGTTTCAGGAAGAGGGAAGAAAGTATCTGTGTGTCTTGCAACCCTTGGATTTCCACTTTGGATTTTTTTGTCAAATAGCTACCAACATTTTAATCGTGCTGACACTATTCTTACCTACACTGTGAGGGAAACAGTTCTCTGGCAAAGTGCCCTTGGTACACTTGGAGAACAAACAAAACTGTGCATGTCAACATTCAAGGAAAAATCAGATGAGCAAAGAGACAGGGTAGCTTCTGAACGTTGGAATCCCCTCCGACAGGATACTGTGTGCTCGAATGCACATCATTGTCAAGGGGAACATCCCAGGAGGGGGCCCAGATGGGAGGCACTTCTACCCTCAGCCCTGCACATCCTTCCAAAGTAAAACAAAACAAGCAAAACGGCTGCAAGGTGCCAGAAGGATTAATATATTGTCCTTCTCCGACCTTTTCCCTTACTTTCGTTTGAAGACAACAGGTGGTTCATTTCAGTCACACAGAGATACCATCTGATCCTGAGTCCTCGACGAAGGATCATCAACAGATCAACTGGATACCTGTTTTCCCGAGAATAAAAGATACTCATGTTCAGAAGCTGATGTCTGAATCCTTTCAGCCCTCCATCTTTCACAACACTCGCTGATAATTACTACTTGTCAATGCTTGTTAAGAACGGCCTACATCTACTTTCTGACTCTTGGAATAAAACATACACACAGTGGGCATAATTTCTGAAACTCAACATGGAGACTCTGTAAATCTAGCACACTTCATTATCTAAATGTGACAACATGAAAATGATTTTTTTTTTTTTTTGCATTTGTGAAATTCAAGAGTGCTCATCACCTTCAGGGAAATTGGTCTTTGTTCTTGGAGTATTACAAGTACATTGCTTAAATTGCCTGTGCCAAGGAATACAGAAATAGAACAAAGAGTGTGCACATATAGCATCCTGAAAAATGATTTCATATTACTCGTTAGTCTGCTTCCAAAGCATTATACAAAATTGATTGAAGAGATATCTGGAATATCATCTATCACAGCTCAGCTCCCTCATCTCCCTTATGACTTATTTTTAAAATGCTGTTTTTAAGACACAAGGCTCAATTCATTTTTTGGAAGGCACACTCATAGATATTTGCTCAGCTCTTGTTACAGAAACTTTTTTTTTCTTTGAAGGAATCTGTCACGGGGAACATGAAATCTAAAAAATGTCTTATTTTCTTCCTTTACTATCGACTCAAAACCAGCATTGATCATAAATTCCTAAAATAATTCACCCAGATAAATGAAAGTTAAAAGGTTAAATGTATACATTTTTAGACAAGCCAAAAGTGTAGCTTCAGAACTCATAATAACTTCAAAAATTGGCACTAGTATTTGTGGAAGGAAGGCAACAGAACATTCTACCAGTAGGCTGGACTTTTTGATTTTTCTGAACACTGATTAAAACCTCAGTGTAATCCTATTTATCCTTTTGAGGTTCTGCAGATTCTTACTGGATGATTTTTCATGTCTGGACTTTTCCTAACATTGATAAAGGAAGAACGTTTATTTTCTAGGTGTATTTTTAAACTCTCAATGGACAGTAACTCATGCAGATACAAAAAATTATCTAATTTTGTTTTCTAGGCCTTTCCTTTTACCCCTGCCTACTTCCGAACAATTCATGTGGATCCTTTGGATAGGTTATCAAATTATTTCAAACATATAATCAATTAATAAATCTTTCATAAGAATTGCTCCATTTTTAAATAATAATAAAATACCTCCCCTACATGCTCTCCTCTCGATTTAATTATCAGGCAAGTAGACCCCAAGGAAAACATTCTGATTTTTAAAATATGTCTAATAATTGAGCTACTTTAGTGGGACACCTGGGTGACTCCGTGGTTGAGCATCTGCCTTCGGCTCAGGGCATGACCCCGGGATCCTGGGATTGAGTTCTGCAACAGGCTCCCCACAGGGAGCCTGCTTCTCCCTCTGCCTAGGTCTCTGCCTCTCTCTGTGTGTCTCTTATGAATAAGTAAGTAAAATCTTAAAAAAAAAAATTGAGCTACTTTAGTTAATTAACAACTTAATTAGCAGGAAGGCAGTCCCTCTAGTAATGGTTACAAGAAAAAGGTTCATACAAAGACAACGAATATAAGAAATACAGAGATTAAAGAAAATAGAAGGATTTATAATATTAAGGTCTTAATGTATGCAAATGATTGGAAAGAACCAAAATACTGTTTTCAGTGTATTTCTTTAATAAAAAAAAAAAAACCATATGAGAACTGACCATTGAAGCCTGACGACTCTTGCCACCTCTCATTAACAACTACTATGCCCTCTGCTGTTTGCTTTGTTAATCTATGACATTATATGGCCAAAGGCCTACATAATTCACGCCTGGGCTATTTGGTTGTCCTTTAAATCCATCCCACACTGTGGAATGGAATGGTTTTCTCCATATGGCCTCCATTTCCTCTTAACAAGTATCCAACAGTGTTTTGATTTGCCACAATAATAAAAATATTTCTTCTCCCTTTCCCTTCCATTAAACTAAGGATTTCTCTTCACATTTCTTAATGCTGGCGGTAACCTTCCTCTAATTTCAAAGCTTTTTTATTTCTCTTATCACTTGAGAGGATGTGTGCTCTTACATCCCAATTCTCTCCCACTTCACATACAATCCTCATTCTCAAGAAAGGAGCCACTGCTGAGAAATTTAGTAGTAATAAAAAGAACCCAAAGCTTCCATACCTAATAGCCACTAAGCATACCATGGACTGGGCACTGTTCTTAGAGCCTTATGTCTATTTGTTTATTTACATTTCTCAATTACCTCATGAGGTAGGTATTATTATCATTGCCTTTGTATCTGTAGGAAACCAAGGCAGAGAAGTGATCTGTTTTGCTCAATTCACAGAACTAGTACAAGCTGATCCTGGAACAACATGGGGGTTAGGGGCACCTCCCCTGCCTACACAGTTGAAAATCTATGAATAACATTTTTTAAAATTAAAAAATTATACTAGGTCTTAAATTTTATTTATTTTTAAAAAGGTTTTATGTATTTATTCTTGAGAGACACAAAGGGAGAGGCAGAGACATAGGCAGAGGAACAAGCAGGCTCCCTGTGGGGAGGCCAATGTGGGACTCGATCTTAGGACCCCAGGATCATGACCTGGGCCAAAGGCACACACTCAACCACTGAGCCACCCAGGTGCCCCTAGGCTTTTAATTTTAATTCCAGTATAGTTAACATAGTGTTATATTAGTTTCAGGTGTACACTTTAGCGATTCAACAATTCCATCTATCTGCCAGTTGTTCATCATGACAAGTGACCTCCTTAATCCCCATCACCTGTTTCACTCATCCCTCCACCCACCACCCCTCTGGCAACCATTAGTTTTTTCTCTATAGTTACGAGTCTGTTTCTTGGATTGTGTCTTTTTCCTTTGTTCATTTATTTTGTTTCTTAAATTCCACATATGAATGAAATCATATGGCATTTGTCTTTCTCCAACTGACTTCTTTCACTTAGCATTATACTCACTAGCTCCATCCATGTTGTTGCAAATGGCAGGATTTCATTCTTTTTAATGGTTGAATAATAGTCCATTGTGTACGTATACCACATCTTCTTTATCCATTCGTCTGTGGATGGACACGTTGGCTATTGTAAATAATGCTGCAACAAACACCAGGGTGAACATATCCTTTGGAATTGTTTTTGCATTCATTGGGCAAATACCCACTCATGTGATTACTGGATTGTAGGGTGTTTTTTTTTAAAGATGTTATTTATTTATTCATGAAAGACACAGAGAGAGAGAGGCAGAGACACAGGCAGAGGGAGAAGCAGGCTCCATGCAGGGAGCCTGATGCGGGACTCGATCCCGGGTCTCTAGGATCAGGCCCTGGGCTGAAGGCAGGTGCCAAACCGCTGAGCCACCCGGGCTGCCCTTGTAGGGTGGGTCTATTTTTAACTTTTTGAGGAGCCTCCATACTGTTTTCCACAGTGGTCACACCAGTGTGCATTCCCACCAACAGTGCATGAGGCTTCCTTCCCCTCTGCATCCTTACTAACGCTTGTTGTTTTTTGTGTTTTTGATTTTAGCCATTCTGACAGGTGTGAGGTGATATCTCATTGTAGTTTTGATTTGCATGTCCCTAATGATGAGGGATGCTAAGCATCTTTTCATGTGTCTGTTGGCTATCTGTATGTCCCCTTTGAAGATATGTCTGGTTCATTTTTTTCTGCCCATTTTGAATTGGATTGTTTTTTGGGCGTTGAGTTGTATGCATTCTTTATAATTTGAGTACAACTGACACACTATATTACATCTGTTTCAGGGAAATCCATTAATAATTTTTGGCTCTGCCAAAAATTTTCTAGTAATAACATACTACTGACTGGTAGCCTTACAGATAACATAGTCGATTAACATGTATTCTGTATGTAATATTGATTATATACTGTACTCTTACAATAAAGTTAGAGGAAAAAAAGCGTTAGGAAAATCGTAAGAGGCATACATTTACAGTACTGTATTCATTGGGAAAAAAATCCACAAATAAGTGGATTCATGCAGTTCAAACCTGTGTTATTCAAGGGTCAACTGTAATTAGAAGAGCCAGGAGTCCAACCCAGCCAGGCAGTCTGACTCCAGAGTCTGTGCTGTAATCCCCTCACAATTATGGTCAGCCCATACAGATCTAGTGTCATCAAATTATACCTGTGAACAACTAGCCAATAATGGAAACTGACTTGTCATGGAAGCAAGTGCTCGAGCTCTGTCAGTGTATCTGCTCCATGGGATACTACACAGGAAAATAGCATCTTCTGATGCTTTATTTTTGGTATTTGACACTTTACTATCTCTACCATAGTGCTCTAAACATGAAACCAGGGCCCAAAATTCATATTTACTTGAATTTTTATTGCACCTAATTTTTCACAGTATTTACAGCCTAAATCACAGTATTTACAGCCTGAACCACAATGAATGGTATCTCAGGGGCTCTTATGTCATCAGTTCTCAATTGTCAACTGTTCAGTTGAGTGGAAAGAATGGTGATTCTAAGTACAGCTAAGATAACAGAGACACTTATCTACTCCTGTGCAGGTGAGGCAGGGAGCATTATTTTCTTTGAAATAGACCTGAAATGATTTTATTAATTTAAAGTTGATTATTTTGCTTTTTATGTATGAATTTGGTTTTTGCAGTATTCATTATAAGTAGATTAAATATGTTCCAAATTATCTGACTCCCTTTTATTTTTCTTTTAATCTGTATCTGAACATATCCACTAGTTCTCATGAAATATACTTCCATATAATAACATTCTGAATTTTTCTGCCTTTTCCAGCCTAAACTGCTCTCAGTAGAAATATTCATCATGTGATGCCTGGGTGGCTCAGTGTTTGAGCGTCTGCCTTTGGCTCAGAAAATAATCCTGGGGTCCTGGGATAGAGTACTGCATCGGGCTCCCTGCAGGGAAGCCTGCTTCTCCCTCTGGCTATGTCTCTGCCCCTCTCCTTGTGTCTCTAGAATAAGGAAAATCTTTAAAAAAATATTCATCATATTTGACTCTTCTACTAATATAAAATTTTAAAAACAGATAGGATAGGTATTAATTTGCTAATTCAGATATGAGAAAACAGCAGGAATCCTTAGAAACATTTTTTCATGTAACATCTTTTGATTCATCATCAAAAATGGATTGAGACAGAACAGAGGAACTATATTATGTAGAAGGCACTTGAAGAGCATCATTAACCAATAATTCCATATTTCAGAGTCACGACTGTCCTTGGAAAATAGTCTGTGACTACTGGTTATATAAAGACTTGAGGATGACAATCATTAAATATCTTTATAGAACACAGGCTTTACGTCTCTGAGTTGGGAGGTAGATTAACAGGTTGGTAGCACAGAGGTATAACTTTAATCATATTTTGGAAAGCTTTGTTTCTCTGGTACTTAATTTTAAATATAACAGAGAATACCTAGTAATGATTTTGGTTTCACCTTCATATTGCCTTTAAGTCAACATCCTATATATCAGGTCACTTAAAATTGTGACAGTGAGGGTTCTCGGCTTGCAAACTAAAACAGTCCCTTCAGCTTACTAGATTAAAATTTGAATCAACTTGACCCCTCCAATGTTGAAGAAGAAAGAAACTGATATTTGCAGATACAGGAATAAATAATGCAATGATTTTACGTTTGAGGTGGCTTGCTCACCTCCTATGAATTATAATAATTTGCTTAATCTTAGTTTAGAAGATAGTTAAATGTCATAAATAAATTCTGCTTCAGGTGACTGGGTGGCTCAGTCAGTTAAGCATTTGATTCTTGATTTTGGTGTCTGTTTGTCTCCCTCTTTCTCTGCCCCGCCTCCCTGCACATGCAGTCTCTCTCTTCCTCTCAAATAAATAAAGAAATCCTTTAAAATATATATACTCTGTTTCCTTTCTTGAATCTACCTGTAACGCCAGGAGCATTTATTGTGAATATATGTTGTCCCTAACTTCAAACCTAGATATACTTTGGTTTGCTATCTCACTAAAATGGTGTAAGAACTAATATTATGAAATTAATACATATTTAACATTTTTTTAAACTATTTTTTAAACATTTTTTATTTATTTATGATAGTCACAGAGAGAGAGAGAGAGAGAGAGAGAGGCAGAGACACAGGCAGAGGGAGAAGCAGGCTCCATGCACCGGGAGCCCGACGTGGGATTCGATCCCGGGTCTCCAGGATCGTGCCCTGGGCCAAAGGCAGGCGCCAAACCGCTGCGCCACCCAGGGATCCCATATTTAACATTTTTTACATAGTATATTTTAAATGACTACTAATAGAAGCTCTATTTTACGCAAAATTGACAAGTCTTTGTAAGTTAGGAGCCAAGCATTATATCTTTTCATAAGGCACTACCTGGGTATTTAAAAAAAAAAATCATTCAAATGCCTCTTAAAAACCTGTAGAATGAGCTTCTGAAATCAAAGATCTCGTGGAAATAAGCTTAAGGAAATTGTACACGACGCTTTCTGCAATTTTCTTTGAAATATCCACCAGCATTCCAAAATTCACTTAGTGCCAGATGGCACTATGCCCAAAACTGTTTAGTACATGCGTTTGATATTTATTTGGATGACAACAATCCAGAAACAACAGGATAAATGAGGCCCTGTAAAATGGAAATCTCTGGTTGCTTTTGCAAATGTGCAGGTTTTTAGGTTCTCTTCATTTCCCACCTAAATGTCAATAAAGAAAGGCTGCTGGAAAGGAGCTCTGAAACAGACTTCCGAACAATTCCACAGGCAGTAGGTATCATCTAATAGACCTCTGCTGTTTTACTCCGTATGTTGCAGGCTACAGAATCATGAAAAGGCACGGAGCATGTGGCTCACGTTACTGCACCATAAAGAGGTTAACCTTAACCCTCTTTATGGTACGAAGCCCAATCTATAAAATACCATCAGACACTTATTATAGCTACTTTCTAATACTATACAATTACATTATACTTCTAAAATGCTATTTGGTTATAAGATAGACTAATTTAACAAATATATAGAACCCACTGTTTTTACAAATTTGGCTCACAAACAAAATTATTAGTCTACCATCTCCAAGGAGCGGAAATAAGGAAAATTAGCACTATTTTCAACTTATCTGCCATATGCCATTAATAATAAAGCATTTCCTTTGGACACTAATCCAAATGGAAAAATTTAAGAAAAAGTTGATTCATTATGTTGACTATAATTATCTCTACAGCACCGTATAGTTCAGACAGCTTAATGCTCTGTGGGCTTCTGAACTTTTTCTGTAACTTGCATATATCACTTATCTAAAATATTTCCCAGAATATTTTATAGTTTTTTTAAAAAGTGCAGCAGGGCAGTCTGACCTGAATTATTCAGGTCTGTGACTGAAGGCCAGAACCATCTATTAATATCAATGTAAACAGATCAAGGAGCCTTCAAGGGCACAACACTGTCCTATATCAGTGTTTCTAACTCATCCTCAAATAGTACAGGATTTACTGAATTGTCACAGCAAGTTGGCTAAGGTACAGAGCGTAAAGGAGATACCCAGATTTACTGTGGACTTTATGGGTCTGGAGTGGAGCTTATCCCATGAATAACTAATATAAAACAAGGCAAAATGTTACTAAATGACTCTTAACCTGAAAAAGGTACAGTTTCCAGGGCATTGGCAAGAATGTTACCTAGCCTAAGACAAGACTGGATAGCTCAAGTAAGGGACTAGGAATCAGAAGACAAGTTTCTACCTTGATAGCCAGATAGTTTTAAATCACATGTTTTCCCATCTTATCCAAGTAAAGCAACAACATGAGGTGATGATGATGATAAACTGGGATTTAGGGACAACCCACTTCAGTGTCACCATAAGGATAAAATTATAAATTATGGATGTGGAAAGAGCCTGTAAACCTTGAAATATTATACAAATGTTACTAACATTACCCACAGGATTTAAGTTTCTCAGAACAGAGATCATCCTTTTTCCATTTTCTTAACCCATACCATGTTGGTCATCATTGTAGGTCTTAGTGAAGGTCTATTACTTTTTAAAATGGGATGTAATAAACCAGGATGCTTTTCTCTTTTCTTTCT